AATGCTCTCAGTCTGAGTAACTTTGATTATTATTATTATTATTATTATTATTATTCACTGAAAAAAAAAGATTCAAAGATGATTCCCTGGATTTACTCATTTTTTACGTTAAGTGGTTGTAAACAATTTATTTGGGCTAAATTTAAACAAACAAATTAAGTTGAACATGATTCAAATTAATTTGTTTGTTTAAATTCAACACAAATAAATTGTTTGCAACAGTTCTGCATGCAACACTTTTTTCAGAGGTTATTTATGATGTTTAAATACTATTTCAATAAATATATTGGTAAATACCCTATATAATTAATTAACTATTTTAAAATTTGCATTCGTTTCTTGGGATTTGAGCAGGTTTCATGAGCTCATCATGCATGACCTCATAGTCCGAGAAACCTTCACACGTCAGTCAGTCTTCAGCCCAGTGTGACGTCACGCGCGGCGCATTACATAATGCAGCGAATGATCAGAGGCAGAGCAGATGGAGTTTGGACATCATCAGGTACAGTTCGCGCGCTGCTGAGGCGTTTCCTTCGCGTCTGCAGATCTCTGACTCGCATTTTCCTTGCCCGCAGCTTTTCTTCTTTCAGTCTGACGCTTGTTTTGAACACTTTGGAGTTTATTTTGCCCGGCACGCAGAAGCGGACATCGGTCAACCGTGATTCTGCTCTGCTCGTTTGCTGTTCGGAGTTTAAAGATGAGCGCGAATGGAAACGCGGCGTTGGGGGTGCGTTTAACGGAGGATCAGGTTAAAGTTCTGGAGGAGAATTTCACGAAGGTCAGCAAACACCCGGACGAAACCACGCTGATGCTGATCGCGGCGGAGTGCGGGCTGAGCGAGGAGCAGACAGCGGTGAGTTTACCGACAGGCAGAGCAACTTTTACTACGATGTAAACGAACGACGCGACCGACTAGCGTTTGACAGCCGCGTCACGCTGATTGGTCGAACAACGCGTTGTGTTTTTCCAAGCGCTTTTCTGATTGGTCGAACGGAAGCGCTGGCGTATTGTTTTGGGTTTAGTAATCTGTCTAGAGAAGAGGTGCCCGAACCTTGACGTATGAAGGGCCAAAACCCAAATATCATTAAGAGTTGTGTGCCAAAAGAAAATATACCAAACTATTTTACATTAAAGATGCCATTTTGGGTAATTTCCTAATTTATTTAATAATATTTCAAAATAAATAGAAAATATTACTTTAATTTGTATTATGTAATGCAGTATAACTTTTTTAATGATAACTCACTGCAATATAATTATAAACAATCACACAGTTATAACACAGTGGAGTTCAATGCTGAACACACAGATCAAGCAGAAGTTCGACACAAGTTTTAATAATGAAGGTCTTATAAATAATAATATCTTATAAACGTTTGACAGTCGCATTACGCTTATTGGCTATTGGGTTGAGTTATGCAACCCAGCATGTTTAGACTATAAATAGGCTATTATTTCACAATATAGTCAGAATCATTTACAAAATGATATTAATACTGCAAAATAGCCAGAAACGTTTTAAAACATATATTATTACTGTCTAAAAAATGTTGATTTGTAACTCAATGTTGAGTCAAAAATGGACAAACTCAAATGTAGTTTTTTTTTACATTCAATTTACATAAATTTTATTAACCAAACTGATTTTTTTTTACTTTTAAGAGTGTTTTATTATTATTATTATTATTATTATTATTATTATTATTATTATTATTATCATTATTATTTATATGATTATTAAAGCGGACAGCTTTTTAATTTAATAATTATTATTATTATTATTATTATTATTATTATTATTATTATTATTATTATTAATAATAATAATATTATTAAAGCGGACAGCTTTTTATTTAATTATTCTTATTATTATTATTATTATTATTATTATTATTAATATTATTATTAAAGCGGACAGCTTTTTTATTTAATTATTATTATTGTTGTTATTATTATTATTATTGTTATTATTATTATTATTATTATTATTAAAGCGGACAGCTTTTTAATTTAATTATTATTATTATTATTATTATTATTATTATTACTACTACTATTATTATTATTATTATTATTATTAATGTTTAAAATGCAGTTGTTTTTCCATGGTATTGAATAGCAATGCGTTACCTAAATGCTTATCAATATTTAAAAGCAACCTTTGTACTGTCACACTGAATGTGTAAAAAACAATATGGTGACTCCATTGTACATTTTTGTTTAGTTTAGTTCTAACGGCTTTGACATATGGTTTATGAGCCTTTGGTGTACAGTGTTATTTGATCAGGGAAAGTTTATTATCACAATAAATGTTAAAGTAAATATCAGAGGCCTTTCATCATTTGCCTTAAAGGGACAGTCACCAAAAATCAAATATCTGTCATCGTTTACTTTCCCCTGACCTGTTTGAGTTTTTTCAGCTGAACACAGAAGAAAATATTTCAAAGAATGTTAAAAACCTGTAACCATTGACTTCCGTAGTATTTCCTATTATGCTTATCAACGGTTACTCATTTTCAGCATTCTTCAAGCTATCTTCCTTTGTGTTCAACAGAAGCTATTTCAAAGAATGCTGAAAACCTGTAACCATTGACTTCAATAGTATTTCCTACTATGCACGTCAAAGGTTACTCATTTTCAGCATTCTTCAAACTATCTTCCTTTGTGTTCAACAGAAGATATTTCAAAGAATGCTGAAAACCTGTAACCATTCACTTCAATAGTATTTTCGTCAATGCACGTCAATAGTTACTAGTTTTCAGCATTCTTCAAAATATCTTCTTTTGTGTTGAATTGAAGACGCTATTTTGAAGAATGCTAAAAACCTGTAACCATTGACTTCCATAGTATTTCCTACTATGCACGTCAATGGTTACCCATTTTCAGCATTCTTCAAACTATCTTCCTTTGTGTTCAACAGAAGATATTTCAAAGAATGCTGAAAACCTGTAACCATTGACTTCAATAGTATTTCCTACTATGCACGTCAAAGGTTACCCATTTTCAGCATTCTTCAAACTGTCTTCTTTTGTGTTCAACAGAAGATATTTCAAAGAATGCTGAAAACCTGTAACCATTCACTTCAATAGTATTTTCGTCAATGCACGTCAATAGTTACCAGTTTTCAGCATTCTTCAAAATATCTTCTTTTGTGTTGAATTGAAGACGATATTTTAAAGAATGCTGAAAACCTGTAACCATTGACTTCCATAGTATTTTCTACTATGCATGTCAATGGTTACCCATTTTTAGCATTCTTCAATTTATCTTCCTTTGTGTTCAACAGAAGCTATTTCAAAGAATGGTGAAAACCTGTAACCATTGACTTCAATATTATTTCCTACTATGCACGTCAAAGGTTACCCATTTTCAGCATTCTTTAAACTGTCTTCTTTTGTGTTCAACAGAAGATATTTCAAAGAATGCTGAAAACCTGTAAATATTCACTTTAATAGTATTTTCGTCAATGCACGTCAATAGTTACCAGTTTTCAGCATTCTTCAAAATATCTTCTTTTGTGTTGAATTGAAGACGATATTTTAAAGAATGCTGAAAACCTGTAACCATTGACTTCCATAGTATTTTCTACTATGCATGTCAATGGTTACCCATTTTTAGCATTCTTCAAACTATCTTCTTTTGTATTCAACAGAATAAGATATTTCAAAGAATGGTGAAAACCTGTAACCATTGACTTCAATAGTATTTCCTACTATCGATGTCAATGGTTACCGGTTTTCAGCATTCTTCAAAATATCCTCTTTTGTGTTCATCAAAATACAGAAACTCTTTGGAACATCTTGAGGGAGAGTAAATAATGCGTAAATGTTAGTTTTTGGGTGAACTATCCCTTTAAAGTGAAATGATTTCTAATGACAGAGGGAAAAACTCTTAATTGCACAATGAACATTCTTGAATAAGTGCTTCTGGGTGTGAACGCATCGCGCACCACTCCTCAGAGATCTGTAAGCAGTAGCGCACATTAGCTGGTGATGATGATGAGGTCTCTGTTGTGCATTGTCTTCATTCCTGTTTTGCTGTACGCAGCTCAAAATAACCCAGTGACAGCATTAAAGCGGCGGTGGCGGGGTTTGTGCTGGAGTGAATGGAGCGCACACACTGACCAGAAGCACAATAGATGACCTGAAACCCTTCCCTTTTGAACACACACACACACACACTCACACACACATGAATGCATGAGTGATGTCATGGCAAGTTAGTAATGCTGTAATCTGTACACTAACGGATATTTCAGAGTGTGAGCAACACTTCTAGTGAAGAGTTTAAAAACACACACACACACATTCCATCATAAGGCTGGACTCGGGTTGCCAGGTATTTGCAAATAAATACTAGCCAGTCAGAAAGAGCCCAATACAGTACACCAGTACACCAATCATTCTTATATAAAACATATTTAATAATGAAATCTAGTCAATACAGTACAATTTAGTACAGAGTAAATTTTAAGCCATCTCGCGGCCCACCTGCAGGTTCGCTGAGGCCCACCGGTTGAGTATCCCTGCCCTAGGAGATGTCATAACTCTCCCGAAATCCTTTTCACGATCTTTCTGAATAAAACACCACATCCATTCAGCTTGCAGCAGAAAAAGCAAGCCACGCACGTTTCATTTCATATTACGTTTCTCTAGGAACTGCTTCACAATGGTTGCAGCTTCCGGTTCATGTGGACTTTAAACTTGCAAAAAAAAAAGAATAACAACCCACAGCAAGTGCTTAAAAGTAGCCAAGTTCCGCAGGAAAACCACAGACTTGGCAACCCTGGGGCTGGGCTGTTTCTGATTGTGAAAGAAACTGCATTGAGACTGAAAACACCCATGTGGAAATACATCATCACACACAATGGAGAAGCAGGCGCACACACACTCACTCACTCACTGCTGGAGGAGTGTGTCAATGTGTAGTACAGTGTGAGCGGCACGGTGGCTCAGTGGTTAGCACTCATCACAAGGTCACTGGTTCGAGTTCCAGATGGGACAGTTGGCATTTCAGTGTGGAGTTTGCATGTTCTCCCCGTGTTGGCGTGGGTTTCCTCAGGGTGCTCTGGTCTCCCCCACAGTCCAAACACGTGCGCTTTAGGGGAACTGATCAACTAAATTGGCCATAGTGTATGAGTGTGTGTGTGAATGTGAGTGTGTATGGGTGTTTTCCAGTACTAGGTTGCAGCTGTGTAAAACATAGGCTGGAATAGTTGGTGGTTCATTCCGCTGTGGCGACCTCTGAATGAATGAATGAATTCTTGGTTTTGCTGATTAATTTCATGATATTGTCATTTTTACTGGTTTTAATTGAATAAATGTGGCCGTGGTGAGCAGAAAGACGTCTGTTAAACGTGATAAAACTTCCTTTTAAACCGTGTGTGTGTGATAGTGTGTGTTAAATGTGTTGAAGAGGAAGTGTAGAGTGCGCTGCAGACAGCGGAGCTCAGCGCAGGCCTGATTTCAGATGTAAAGCTGCAGGTGAATCTGCTTTGATTAACAAACTCCGTCCGGCTCTCTGGAGACAATCAGATCAGCACTTTGCATTATTGCAGAGCTCAAACTGAAGGGTGTGTGTGTGTGTGTGTGTGTGTGTGAGTGAGAGGAGCAGGTTCTGCTTACTTTCTGCTGGAAACAAACCGGTCCAGCCTGATGCTCATGTTGGCCAGTACAGTAAACAAAGTGTGTGTGTGTGTGTGTGTGTGTGCGCGTGTGTGTGTGTGTGTGCGCGTGTGTGTGTGTGTGTGCGCGTGTGTGTGTGCATGTCTGCGTGTGTGTGTGCGTGTGTGTGTGTGTGTGCGTGTGTGTGCGCGCGCGTGTGTGTGCGCGTGCGCGCGT